TATTCTATTCTATTCTATTCTATTCTATTCTATTCTATTCTATTCTATTCTATTCTATTCTATTCTCTATAGTTTCTACTGCCCTGAGGCGGAAAGGAAGAAGACTCTTCACTCTTATCTCTTCTCTTTCCTATTCTTAGCAATCTCTGGCCGTTGAGTATTATAGAGATGTGGAGAGCTAGAGCGGCACCTTTGCCTTCCCTGGCCGACGTGGCTTGGAGCGTGGCGAAGCTTTAGCCCCGGAAGTGACGTCCTTGGGTGGAGCGGAAGGGCAGGAAGCGGAAGTTCGGAGCGCCGTCGCCTTAGCAACGCCTGAGCGACGCCGTCCCTCGTGAAGCGGCCGCTGCCATGGCAGAAACGGCGCCGCCTTTGACGCCCACCCCGACCCCGACGCCCACCCCGACGCCCTTGGCCCGGCAGAGCAGCGCCCCCAGCCCCGCCAGGGCCTACCACCTGCGCCCGGCCTTCCACCACAGGTCAGCCCGGCTCTCCCGCCGTCCCCTTTCCGCTCCTTCCGCGGCTTTTGGTGGCACAACAGCCCTGCGAGGTAGGCCGCCGCGGGGCATTGTGGGAGGCCAGAGCGAGCCTCGCCCTCGGGGTGGGGGGGGCTTTGCATGTTATTGATTTGCTTTCTTCTTTAAAAGCAAATATTTGCTTTTAAAACTTTTGATTTTAACGTCTTTTATTTTTATTTTCTTAAAATAACATTTTCTGTTGTCAGCCGCCCAGAAGGGCGGATAAAATAAAATAAAAATTAAATGAAATAATAAATAATTAAATAATGTAAAAGAAAATAGAATATAAAATAATAAAATATAAAATAAATAAAATATATAAATAAAACATAAAACATAAAACATAAAAAAGAAATATGAAATAAATAAAATATATAAATAAAATATAAATCATAAACATAAATAATAAAGAAATATAAATAAAATATAAAACATAAAACATAAATATAAAGAAATATGAAATAAATAAAATATATAAAATAAAACATAAATCATAAAACAAATAATAAAGAAATATGAAATAAATAAAACATATAAAAATATAAATCATAAAACAATAAAGAAATATAAAATAAATAAAATATATAAATAAAATATAAAACATAAATAATAAAGAAATATAAAATAAATAAAATATATAAATAAAATATAAATCATAAAATATAAATAATAAAGAAATATAAAATAAATAAAATATATAAACAATAAAACGACTCAAAGCTGCAAACGTATCCAGCATACCTTTCCTTTAAGGTTGTCCTCAATTTGTGACCACAATTGAGCCCAGAATTTGTGTTGCTAAGTGAGACATTTGTTAATGAGTTCCCTCCCCTGTTTTTACGACCTTTCTTGCTACCGTTGTTAAGTGAATCATTGCAGTTCTTAAGTTAGTCACATGGTGGTTAAGTGATTCTGGCTTCCCACATTGGCTTTGCTTGCCAGAAGGTCGCAAAAGGGGATTACTTCATCCCAGGACACTACAACCGTCATAAATACAGGTCGTCCTCAAACTTACGAACACAATTGAGCCCTAGAATTTGTGTTGCTAAGTGAGACATTTGTTAAGTGAGTTTTGTCCCATTTTACAAATCTTCTGGCCACCGTTGTTAAGTGAATCACTGCAGTTGTTAAATTAGTCACACAGTCGTTCAGTGAATCTGCTCCCCCTCCCCCATTGACTTTGCTTATCAAAAGATCGCAAAAGGCGATCATGTGATCCCGGGATACTGCAACCGTCATAAATGTGAGTCAGTTGCCAATTACATCCAAATGTGAGTCACATTTGGTTGACTCAGCCTTCCATCCTTCCGAGGGAGGTAAAATGAGGACCCGGATTGTGGGGGCAATAAGCTGACTTTGTATAAAAAAAAGAACACCACTTAGGGGGGGCTCGAAAGCCCTACTAAGCAGCTATATACAAAAGTATGAAGGCTATTGCTTAACGCATTGTAAGCCGCCCTGAGTCTCCGAAGAAGGGCGGCATATATAAATCGAACTAATAAATAAATAAATAAACATGACCATGGGAATGCTGCAATGATCATAAGTGTGAAAAATGGTCATAAGTCCCTTTTTTCAATGCTGTTGTAACTTTGAATTGGCACTAAGCGAACTGTTGTAAGTCGAGGACTACCTGTATTTTCCCCACAACAACAACAACCTTGTGAGGTGGGCTGGGATGAGAGAGAGGGGGGGGGGATTGGCCCAAAGTCACTGAGCCAGCTTTCGTGCCTATGGCCAGACTGGAACTCACCGTCAGAAATTGTGGGTGCTCCATCACTGGATGTTTTTAAAAAGACATTGGACAGCCATTTTTCTATAATATTATAGGGTCTCCTGCTTGAGCAGTGGGATGGACTAGAAGACCTCCAAGGTCCCTTCCAACTCTGTTATTTATCTCTTAGTTGATATAGAAAGTCTGCACCCACCCACCCTCCTAGAGAATGAAATATTTTGGGGAATATTAAAAAGGCAGGATAGAATATTTCTGCTAAAGGAGAAATGGAAAAAAATCTTAAGGGAGGCAGAAACCAGCCCCACAGTCTCCCTGCCCCAAGCAGAAACTGAGGAGGCCAGCTTTTAGAAATGCAGATTTGACTTAGACTAAATTTATTGTTTAAATATACACTAATCGGCATACATTAAAATTAAATTATGTTGCATACAGCTCTCAAAGGGTCTCCACCTCTAATATAAACATAAACATGACAAGATAAATAAATGCAAAACTATGCATGAACCCACATATATGACACCGAGAAACAACACCATCTAGTTCAGATGTATACATGCACATGGCGAGAGAAACAAATCTTGCAAGCTTACCAGATGGATGGCCTAGGGAACAAAGCTCTTCCAGAATCTGGAAGTCCTGCTAGAAGTACTTTGAAACCTCCTCCTGTGGATTTAGTAATCCATTCAGAAAGACTGGGTCAGACAGAGACTCCCAATAAGCAATACAATTAGGCAAGCCAAAGGCTGACAAGATTAGCTCAGACAAACACCTAGGATTTGCATTTCCCCTTCTGCCTACGGAGCCAGCCATGACCCCATAGGAATCTGACAACAGCCAATAGAATAATAAAGGACATGTTCTTGCAGAGGAACAGGAATCTCAAATACAAAACCCAAAGAAGGTGTAAAAAACCCACCCACTCTCAACTCCATTTTGACAGCTGTCCCAGAACTGCACGCTGTGGTTCTGTTCATTAATAAACTTCCTTTTTTTTCATGTTTTATTTATATAACATTCAGTTTTCATCAAACAGTGTGTGGTCTGGGTACAGTCATAATAACCTATCTTTGTTTAAACAGTCATAATACTCATCTTTGTTTTATTCATCACCATAATATAGATAATATAATAACATAATAATATAATAACAGTAATACTTAACATCATCATCTTTAACAACTCTCTACTTTAACATTTCCTCTTTTTATATCTCCTCCTTTCTAACTTCTGTTTCTGTTATCTAGCCATTGATAAAATATGTCCCATATCAAAAAAACATTCAGTTTCTTCTTTATCCTTAAGTAAGCGTTAGTCTATCTATTTCTGCACATTCTAATATTTTCTTAATTACATTCCCCTCAGATGGAATCTCATCATTTTTCCATTGTTGCGCAAATACAATTCTAGTTGCGGTTAATATATGCAAATCAGATATGTAGTTTTTTGATCATATTTTTCTGGTAGAATGCCTAACAAAAAATATCTCTGGTTTCAGGTCTATATGTTGCTTTGTCATTTTTTCCAGCCACGTATGTATTTTCGTCCAGTATTTTTTTGTTTTTGGGCATGTCCACCATATAAGGTAGTATGAACCGGATGATTGATTACACTTCCAACATTTAGCAGATCTATCTTTATATATTTTTGCCAATCTTGCCGGTGCAAAATGCCATCTATAAAACATTTTATACAGATTTTCCTTATATGCAGTTGACATAGTTAATAAACTTTCTTAAGCAGCCTCCATTTTATTCCCGGCTTGGGACTGGACCTGGATTTTCCTTCCCACCGTGGATGTCCGTTCTTGATTAGGATGTAGTAACCCCTCCACAGGGCTACCTGATCCCCAGGATCCCTTCCAGCTCTATTCTGATCAATTGATCTCTACCAGAGTCAAGGACGCTATTTCCCTCTTCTTTTCTCTCAGGTTCCGTTCTTCCATCGTGAAAGATTGCATCCGTGAAGTCCTGAAGGAGGAGTTGGCCAACGTACAGTACAACCCAGAGGAGACCGGAACCAGAACCAAAGTCTTATCTGAGCTGATCCGGGACAGGCTGAAAGGTCTTTAGATCCACCTGCCTTTGCACCCCCAAGGACCCTGGGATTTCTCCCAACTGACCCAGCGTTCAGAGTGATGACTTCCATGACTTGGATCCCAATGAACCGTTTCCTTTCCTTTTCTCTTTTTCAGATAAAGGATTTAACCGATATAAAATAGTGGTGCAAGTAGTGATCGGAGAACAGAGAGGCGAGGGAGTGAAGTGAGTTTTTCTTCTGTTAAAACAATTTCTCCCCCCCCCCCCTTTTGGGTTTTTTTTGTCCTATGGCCATGATGGCGAACCTATGGCACGCGTGCCACAGGTGGCACGTGGAGCCATATCTGTGGGCACGCGAGCATTCCTCTAGCTCAGCTCCAGCGCATATGCGTGCGCCGGCCAGCTGATTTTCGGGCCTTCCAGGCTCACCAGAAGTCGGGAAATGGGCTGTTTCCAGCCTCCGAAGGGCCTCTTGGTGGTGGGGAAGGCTGTTTTCGCCCTCCCCAGGTGCCAAGAAAACCTCGAGTCTGGGGAGGGTGAAAAACAGGCCTACCGGGCCCACGGTGCCATTGCATGCCAAAAGCAGGGGTCGTGTGTCCAGGTGCGGGGGGTGGGGCGCATTGAATTATGGGTGTGGGCGGGCACGGGAGACACCCCCCCCTGCACTCCCCCCATTTTTGGTACGTGACGGCAAAAAGGTTAGCCATCCCTGTCCTATGGGTTGCATTGCAGAGGCAGTCCTTGACTTACAACCTTTCCTTTAGTGACCATTCGAAGTGACAGTGGCACTGACAAGTGATTTACGACCGCTTTTCACACTTGTGACTGTTGCTGCATCCCCAGGGTCACGTGATCACAATTAGAAGTCTTGGCAACTAGCATGTACTTATGACGGTTGCAGCGTCCCCGGGAGTCACATGGTCCCCTTTTGCGACCTTCTGACACAAAGTCAGCGGGGAAGCCAGATTCATTTAAACAACTCTGTTACTCAGTTCACAACTGTGGGACTCACTTAACGCCGGTGGCAAGAAAGGTCTTAAAATTAGGAAAACTCAGGGCGGTAAGTGTGAAAAGCGGTCATCAAGTCACATTTTTTCAGTGCTGTTGTAACTTCGGACAGTCACTAAATGAAACGTTGTAAGTTGAGGACAACCTGTACTTTGACTTTTTACTAGCTGATTTCCTACTTTTTTTCTTTGCTTTTTGTTTTTTTTTTTTTTTCAGCATGGCTGCCCGTTGTTTTTGGGATGCTGATACCGATAACTACGCTCAGGATGTTTTCATCAACGTAAGTTGTTTAGTTTTATTTTTCTTAATCAATGCTCTACACCAGGCAGCTGTGAAAATGTGGACTGCCAACGACACACCGGGGGGGGGGGGGGGGGGGGGCGGTCGGACTTGCGGGGATATCTCTGCATTGCCATAAATTGCTTTGGAACAATTGGGGGTCTCTCTTGCTGTGCCTGTCAGCGGATCTTAAAAAGAAACCAGGTTTTTGAGCTCGGTGGTTTTCCCGCAGTGAGGTTTGCTCTTTGTTTACATGCCAGTGGCTTGTCCAACTCAGACAAATCAAGGAACTACCCAGAAGAAAAGAAAACTCCCACCAACACTTGTATATAAACGGAGAGCAAACCCCACTCCCTTCTAGCACTAATGAAATGTCAACCCAGCTCACAAAGACCCCATAGTTGCCACTGTTGTCATCTTCCTCCTCTTCCTCCTAAGCCCTCCTTCCTTCTAGCATTGATGATGTTACCTAGTTGGGTAATGAAATGTCTGCAAGAAAGCAAGCCAGCTCCGAGATCACCAAGGACCCCACAGTTTCCTCATCTTCCTCCTCCTCCTCTTCCTCTTCCTCTTCCTCCACCCCACAAATTCCTCTCCTTTCTAGAACTGATTATGTTACCTAGTTGGGTAAATTAAATATCTGCAAGAAAACAACCCAGCTCCGAGAGCACCAAGGATTCCACAGTTCTCCTCCTCCTGTTCCTCCTCCTCCCAAACCCTCCTCCCTTCTAGCACTGATGAGGTTACTTAGCTGGGTCATGAAATGTCTGCAAGAAAACAACCAAGCTCAAAAGAGCACCAAGGACCCCACTTTCAACCCTGAGCTCCAACTATTCTCTTCTGATGGTACCTGCTTATTTAGGGGGGGGGGACCCTTCTCGTGCTGTTTCTGTCCAGTTGCAGCTTCACTCACAACCCTTCTCTTGATCTCCCCAGGAGAGTCTCTTCTGTGTCGCTGTGGCCTTTGGCTGTTTTTTCTACTAATGCCGGCTGCAAGTTCCAAGAAGAACGGCGTTCGTTTTGAAGATCCTGAAACAGCAGGATTACAGACTGCTTTTCCTTTCCTCCCTGTGTGCCTGCACACTCATATGTATATATATATATATATTTGTATATACCGATAGTCCATTGTATGAAATATAGCTTCCACATGACATTTTTAAGATCCCCCAAACTCCTGCTATTGCTGTTGTGTATATAAAGAGAACTCCAGCACAATTCCCCTGGAAATGGAGAACAGCCGCTGTTCGGTTTCCGGTGGGTTGCATACATAATTTCCCCGTTGTGTTGCTCTCTGCGCTTAGCGACATCTGTACATGGTACCAAATGTGGCTATTTAAATACAGCTGTTAAACAAAAGTTATCCTTATCCTTGCAAATCCATTGCACCTGTCTCAATCTATTCTTATATTTTGAAATATCATTGGGTTATACTATAATACCTTGCCTTATTAATCCTTTGTGTGTTACTACAGGAGTCCCATTCCTGACTCTGCTAAAAATTGTTCTCTTTCTCTCTTACAAATATTTCCATATTCCTTCTGTGTTTTATTCTATCAGCGTGGAAAAGAAACCCAGGAAGGACAAACTGTTGTTCAAATTGCACTCTTAAGGTTGCTGGCAGCATAATTCATCACACGAATGCTTGATGCAAAATATACAGGCAGTCCTCGACTTACAACAGTTCATTTAATGACCGAAGTTACAATGGCACCGAAACTTAGGAATGTTTTTAGGCAGGAAACACTATACCGCTTCAGACAAATGGTTATCCAGTCTCTTCTTAAAAACTTCCAGTGTTGGAGCATTCACAACTTCTGGTGGCAAGTCGTTCCACTGATAAATTGTTCTCAGTTTCAGGAAATTTCTCCTTAGTTCTAAGTTGCTTCTCTCCTTGATTACTTTCCATCCATTGCTTCTTCTCCTGCCTTCTGGTGCTTTGGAGAATAGATGGACCCCCTCTTCTTTGTGGCAGCCCCTGAGATATTGGAACACTTGCTATCATGTCACCCCTAGTCCTTCTTTTCATTAAACTAGAGCCTTGGTAGTACAGTGGTCTAAGGCACCCTGTTATTAAGCTGGTTATTAAGACCAGCTGCCTGCAATTACTGCAGGTTCGAATCTCGCCAAGGCTCAAGGTTGACTCAGCCTTCCATCCTTTCTAAGGTAGGTAAATTGAGGCCCCAGTTTGTGGGGGCAATAAGCTGACTTTGTATAAATATACAAAAGGATGAAGGCTATTGCTTAGCGCATTGTAAGCCGCCCCGAGTCTCCGGAGAAGGGCGGCATATAAATCAAATTAAAAATAAATAAATAAATAAAAAAACTAGAGAGATTGGCAACCTTAAACACTCAAAGAGCCACAAAATTCCTAACTAGAAGCCCCTGTTCAATTCTGGAGCCGACCAGAAATCCGGTTCCCCCATCATAGTCTCCTAGTGTGGGGTCCTTTTTCCTCTGCTGACCGGAAGTCCGGTTCCCCCACCATAGAGTCTCCTAGCGCGGCATCCTTTTTCCTCTACCTATCTTAACCGTAAGCCCTATCAATTGTGGAGCCGACCGGCAACAAGGAGCCGCAACAGAGGGATGAAAGAGCCACATACGGCTCCAGAGCCGCAGATTGCTGACCCCTGAACTAGCCATGCCAAGTTCCTGCCACCATTTTTCATATGTTTCAGCCTCCAGTCCCCTAATCCTCTTTGTTGCTCTTCTCTGCACTCTTTCCAGAGTCTCCACATCTTTTTTACATCGTGGCGACCAAAACTGCATGCACTATTCCAAGTGTGGCCTTACCAAGGCCTTATAAAGTGGTATTAACACTTCACGGGATCTTGAGTCTATCCCTCTGTTGATGCAGCCTAGAACTGTTTTATATTTTTTTAAAAAATTAGGTTGAATACATATTTTCACACAGGAACCCCAAGCCAAAACCCATCAATGTGGAAACACACACTGTTTTCCCCCAAGCATCTAAATTATAAATGGAATCAGGGCTGTTCACTGTTCCATAAATTCTACTCAAGAAGTTTTTTTTATTTTATTTTAAATCTATTGTAGAAAATATTCTTTCTCCTCAGAGACTGCGTTTGTAGCCGACTTCATCATGGAAGAAAAGTCTTCACTGTGGGCGAGAAAAAGACAACAGGGGCTTGTTATCTTAGCTATCAGATTCCAAACCATCGAAAACATTTTAAAAATCCGTGGGGGTGGATGGGTGGAGTGTTTTTTAGTAGTCAGCATTTAAAAAAATATTTACATTAATCTGATAAGGAAATACTGCAACCCAACTTAAGACATTTTTCCAGTCCACGTTCATAGTTTCCATTGTAAATTATCATAATCAAGTTACCTTACTTCTGTCCTCCGATAATTGCTAATCTTCATGTAATTAAAACTTGAGCAGGAAGTCACACACACTGACCTTATGAGGGTGATCTTCCCACTGTGGAGATCTTACTAATGTTCAAAGATAAGTCCTTGTGCTTAATTATTTTGAGGGCCAAACGAGCCATTCTAATGCTTTGGCTTAAGTCAAAGAGAACAATTAAGGACAATAAGTGGAACAACTTGCCTGCAGAAGTTGTGAATGCTCCAACACTGGAAATTTTTAAGATGTTGGATAATCATTTGTCTGAAGTGGTGTAGGGTTTCCTGCCTGGGCAGGGGGTTGGACTAGAAGACCTCCAAGGTCCCTTCCAACTCTTCTCTTCTCTTCTCTTCTCTTCTCTTCTATTCTATTCTATTCTATTCTATTCTATTCTATTCTATTCCCCTTCCCTTCTTTTGCTTTCTCTTCTCTTCTCTTTCCTCTCCTCTCTTCCCTCCGCTCCGCTCCCCTCCCCTCCCATACTTTCTCTTCTCTTCTCTTCTCTTCTCTTCTCCTCGTCTTGTCTCGTCTCTCCTCTCCTCTCCTCTCTTCTTTTCTCCCTTCCTCTCCTCTCCTCTCCTCTCTTCCCTCCGCTCCCCTCCTCTCTCCTCCCATATTTTCTATTCTATTCTATTCTATTCTATTCTATTCTATTCTATTCTATTCTATTCTATTCTATTCTATTCTATTCTATTCTATTCTATTCTTCTTAAAAGCCTCCAGTGCTGGAGCATCCATAACTTCTGGAGGCAAGACGTTCCACTGATTTAATTTTTCTCACTGACTAAGAGATTTCTCTTTAATTCTAGGTAATTGGAGAAAGTTACTCACAGCCGCCTCCTTCGTACAATGGAACACAGTGACATAGAAGATCCCACTACCAGTGGTTTTCTTGGATTTAAGTTTACAAGGAGGGAGACCTACAGTGGAGAACTTCAGGGTTCTGTCCTGGTATTCAAGAGAGATCCAATCTAGAACTAAGGAGAAATTTCCTGGCAGTGAGAACAATGCATCAGTAGTTGTGGGTACTCCATCTCTGCAGGTTTCTCGAGATGAGATTGGACAATCATTTGTCTGGTATGGTAGATCTCTGAGGTCTCTTCCAACCCTGTGATCCTATTTTGTATATTCTATGACTACCGCATGTGTCTCCCCAAGAGAGAAGAGGGGGGACAATCTATTTGACTTCTTGTGGCAAGTTGTTCCACTGGTTAATTGTTCTCACTGTCAGGAAATTTCTCCTTAGTTCTAGGTTGCTTCTCTCCTTGATTAGGTTCCCTCCATTGTTTCTTATCTGGTGTATGGACTGTCCCCAGTCTCTTCTTAAAAATCTCCAGTGTTGGAGCACCCACAACTTCTTGTGGCAAGTCGTTCCACTGATTAATTGTTCTAATTGTCAGTAAATTTCTCCTTAGTTCCAGGTTGCTTCTGTCCTCGATTATAGTTTCCATCCGTTGCTTCTTGTCCTGCCTTCAGGGGCTTTGGAAAATAAGCACCAGGAAAAGGTTTAGCAGCCCTACTAAGCCAGCCTCTGTACAGCCTGTGCTTGCTATGTACGTAAATATCTACATTACAGATACTCCTCGACTTACGACCACAATCGGGTCCAGAATTTCCCTTGCTAAACAAGAGAGTTATTAAATTAGTTTTGCCCCGTTTTACGTCCTTGCCACCGCTGTCAAGGGAATCACTGCAGTCGTTACGTTAGTCACACGGTTGTTAACAATCCAGCTTCCCCATTGGCTTTGCTCGTCAGAAAGTCGCACAAGGGGAATCACACAACTCCAGGATGCTGCCACCGCCATAAATATGAATCAATTGCCAAGCGTCCTAATTTTAATCACGTGCATGGGGATGTTGCCACGGTCGTGAGTGTGAAACAAAAGGTCATAAGTCCATATTCTAATACAGAAAATTCTTAAAATGAATATAAAGATAAAACCAAACCCTTTACATTTGGGCTTAATGGAAAAAGACTTGGGCGGAAAAAAATTTGGAACTCTGATCTTATATATGTCAACGGCAGCGAAACTGCTTTATGCACAAAAACGGAAGGATATTTCGATTCCCACCATCATAAACACCCATAAAAGTTGATGGATTTGGGAGAGATGGTTAAATTGACCGTTTTGATCAAAGAAAACAGTATAAGTGCTTTTGCTTCTACTTGGAAACCGCTTCTGGACTTTGTACTTGAGGTGGGGTGGGGAAATGAAACTTTGATTTTGGGTTTTGCCGATTAGATGGATTGGTTTTTATAGAAATGGCTGGTTTATACTATTATGGAAAAGTAAAAAGTTGAGGTTCAACTTTAATGCTGTATTCTACTTCGAAAGAGGGAGTCGGTAATCAATGCCTTTTTTTCCCTCCTCTCTTCCACACTTCTCTCTTCCCCTTCCTCTCCCTTCTGTATCCTACTACTTGCTTTTGTAGTTTCGTATTTTATACTGTAAACTAATAAAAAGAACAATCTAAAAAAAAAAGTCACCAGTCACTCTCTTTTTGCTCCCCTTTCATAACTTCGAATGGTTACTAAATGAGCTGTTGTAAGTCGAGGACTATTTGTAAATAAATAAATACACACATACATACACATACATGCATATTTACATACTCCATTACAAACTGCATCCCTGTTTGGTTTGGTGGCAGCAACGCCTGAGATAGAAAGTCCCTACAGAGAGTGGTGAGGACAGTGGAGAAGATTATAGGAAGCTCGTTTCCCCATATTCAGGATATTGCTTATAAGCGCTATGTGCTTAGAGCTCAAAGAGTTGTTAAAGACCCACATACACACACACCTCACAGTCTGTTTCTGTTGCTCCCTCTGGGAGGAGGTCTCAAAGTATTTCTAGCAGAACTACCAGATCATGGAACAGCTTTGTTCCCTATGCCATCCATCTGGTAAACTCACAAGATTCTTTTCTCTTGCCATGTACATGTATACATCCGAAGTGGACTGTGTTGTTCCTCTGTGTCATATAATATATGTAGGTATATGCATAATTTTGTATTTATTTATTTAGTTATGTTTTTGTAGTTAGAGGTGGAGGTCCTTTGAGAGCTGCATGCAACGAAATTTCATTTTAATGTATGTCGATTAGTGTACATTCAAAGTGACAGTAAAGTTTATTCTGTTCTATTATTTTGTATTTTATTGTTTTGTATTCTATTATTTTGTATGGTGTATGCTCTATTCTAATTCTATTCTATTTTATTTATTTATTTATTTTGTCAAGCATATATAAGATAACAGGTAAACATATAAACATAATTTGAATACATGAAAAGAATAACTAAAAAGGAATATTAGGACAGGGATGGTAGGCACGCTGGTGCACTTATGCACGTCTCTTAGGAATGGGGTGAGATCAACAGTAAGTTTAACGTTAAAGTTTTGGGGGTTTGTGGAAGAAACTATAGATTCAGGTAGTGCATTCCAGGCATTGACCACTCTGTTGCTGAAGTCCTATTTTCTGCAATTGAGTTTGGAGCGGTTTACCTTGAGTTTGTATCTATTTGCTTGTGTATTGTTGTGGTTGAAGCTGAAGTAGTCATTGACAGGAAGGACATTGTTGCAGATAATTTTATGTACTATGCTTAGGTCAGACTGAAGTCGGCGTAGTTCTAGGTTGTTTAAGCCCAAAATTTGGAGTCTGGCGGCATCAGGTATTTTATTGCGGGTAGAGGAATGGAGGACTCTTCTCGTAAAATATCTCTGGACTCTCTCGATTGTATTTATGTCCGATATGCAGTGCAGGGTTCCAGACAGATGAGCTGTATTCAAGAATTGGTCTAGCAAAGGTTTTGCATGCTCTAGTTAGCAGTACAACATTACCAGAGAAGAAGCTACGCAAGATTAGGTTCACAACTCTTAATGCCTTTTTGGCGATGTTGTTACAGTGGGCTCTGGCACTTTAGAAATGAGTACTCCAAGGTCCTTGAGTATTTCTATTCCTATTCCTATTCTTCCCTACCACAGGCCTCCCTTCCACCAGAGGGGGTCAACGAGGAGCTTCCAAGTTGCAACATAAATCCTGAATTTCTGTTTCAGGATCCAGCAAAACTTCAGTCTTGGAGCATTGATAGACCCTCCATGTCGGTCCCTGCTGGACTTCTTGGGGTGCCTGGTCCCTAAAAGAGAACTCCTTCCCTAATAGACCAGTAGCTCCAGGCCTGCAGGGAGGTCCCACGCATTGGAGGGGGGACACACCTCTTTCTTTTGCTCCCTCTGCTCTCTCTGAACCCCACTTTATCCCATGCCAACCATGTCGGACAGACCCCTGAAACACAGGCAGAAATCCAAGCGGTGCGCACTCTGCGAGGCTGCCTTTCCCGGAGCTGCGGAGGGGGACCTGTGTCCTCGCTGCTCCCTGCGGCCTCTTAGCCCCCCCAGCTCGGCATCAGGGGGCTTAGAGTCCCAATGGCGGGACCCCAGGGCCCCTTCCCCTTCCGCCAGCTCAGGGGGGGACCCCAAAGATCCAGATGTGGAGGAAGAGGACTTAGAAAGCCGGAAGGTGGACTGGGTAAGTTTGAGCTGTTGCTCTCTCTTCAATTTTTTTTTAGCCTACGGCCTTGGCTCAAATCTCATCTGCAGGATGTCGTGTGCTTTTATTTTTGGGTTTTTCGTGTTGAACCCAGAAATTTAGCCTTTAATGCAGGCTCAAAAGCTGAGCGCTGAAAGCTTATGGAGATTCTCCATCATTCAGATCACTTTTTTTTTTTTTAATTTGATTTATATGCCGCCCTTCTCCGGAGACTCAGGGCGGCTTACAGTGCGTTAAGCAATAGCCTTCATACTTTTGTATATTTTATACAAAGTCAGCTTATTGCCCCCACAAACTGGGTCCTCATTTCACCTACCTTAGAAAGGATGGAAGGCTGAGTCAACCTTGAGCCTTGGCGAGATTCGAACCTGCAGTAATTGCAGGCAGCTGGTCTTAATAACCAGCTTAATAACAGGGTGCCTTAGACCACTGTACTACCAAGGCTCTTCTTGTCCCAAAGGTGTTTTCTTTTTTTTTTTCTCAAGAGGCAACTGGACTTTCTGGTTTTGTCTTTTGAAGACGTTTCGCTTCTCATCCAAGAAGCTTCTTCCGTTCTGGCCAGATGGTGGGGAATGGAAGGATTGATACTCCTTGCAGACTGCTGGTCATTTGCATCCTTTTAGAGAGTCATTGAAGCCACCTGGAGGTCTATCTGTGTCCTCAGATATCACCTGAGTGGTGCAAATGGACATGGAGCCTTCTTGGGACTGCTGAAAGGACTGTGTTGTGGAGTGGAGATGGGTGGTGTCCTATCCGCCCCCTTCTGTTAAGAGATAGCTGTTCAATTTTGACACAGATGGTCTCTTGGACCCCTCTTTCAAACCAGGAGTCCTCTCTGTCCAGAATGTGGACTTTGCTGTCTTCAAAAGAGCGGCCTTTGTCTTTTAAACGCAGGTGGACTGCTGAATCTCGTCTGCAAGGAGTATAAATCCTTCCATTCCCCACCCTCCAGTCAGAGCTGAAGAAGCTTCTTGGATGAGAAGCGAAACGCCTTCAAAGAAAAACCAGAAAGTTCAGTTGCCTCGTGAAAAAGCATCTTTGGGACTGAGCTCCGAAAATTGCTCCTTTCTGTTCCCATGATATAACTACAAGTCATCCTCGACTTACAACCGTTCAAAGCACTGATGACCGTTTTTCACACTTACGACCATTGCAGAATGGTCACGGTTGAAAATTTAGATGCTTGGCAACTGGCATGTCTTTTAAACAGTGGTAGTGTCCTTGGGTCATTTTTTTGCGACCTTCCGACAAGAAAAGTCAATGGGAAAGCCAGATTCACTTAACAACCACTTTACTAATGACTGGTGATTCATTTAACAACTATGGCAAAAAGGTCATAAAATGGAGTACAACCCACTTAACTGTCTTGCTTGGCAAAGGAAATTTGGGGCTCAATTGTGGTCTAAGTTGTACACCAAACCACATGCTTGAGTTTTGCACAAGTATACAGTAATATATATATATTTTAAAGAAGGATGCAATTCATTAAAAGGTTCCTTCTGTATCCCTTCCCCCACATCCACCGATGCATAGCAGGCAAATACCCGCAACTTGAACATGGATTCTGTTCCAAAGTCCACTTTAACTGCATTTGTATCTCTTTGATGTAGTTAATAGTGATATTTACTGCAGAAATTTGGTTTGATGCATTTGGAAAAGATGCATCAATCCAACACTTAAAAGCATATTTTCTGCATGCAAACGATCTGAGATTTGGTTTCTGGCAGCCTATCCATTTAAAAAGGATTTGATTTCAGGATCTGAAAAAGCTCTTTGTCTAGATCACTGGACTACCTCTGAGGTGGATGGCTATTTTTACTGCATTTACTGTTAGATCCTCCCATGTTATGTAGCGTATCTGGCTGCCTGATATTTTTACTGAGTGCATCTAAATTTAATTGCACTCGCACCTCTTTAATCTTATCATTAGCTAAATATATATTATGTTCCTGCAGATGCAGTTATGGAATAGCTTTGGGATTAACTCAATATTCATTTTAAAAAAAAAAGGGAATCGCTGGCTGTGGAAAAACTTGAATCTTGCAAACTCATCCTCACGAAAAAGGATGCTTTGATTGCCAATACTTTTCAGTACATGTGCTTCTTGATATAGGTGCACAAAAAGGCACTGTCAATATCTGGTTATTTTTTTTAATAAATGACTTGTACGTTTTCTCTCCACTTATTTAATTACTTGGTTTTGATTACAGTGAGTGCTAACATTCCACTTGTCCCAAAAGTAATATTGAAGGACAGGTTAGTATTATTCTTTGTCAACAGCTGTGAAAATATTCAAGAAATCCATACTCTGGCATCCAGATGCCAAAGTGATACTAAACAATCTTCATGCGGTTTTTTAAAGAAGTATAATTGATAAATGTATGCATTATTGCTTGAAATGTTATTGTGGTAATGGTAAAACTCAGCATAAAAATATTTAAAATAAATAAAAGTAGTTTATTGGGGGGGATTTTAAAACCCCAATTGTTTCAAAAGGACTTATGTTGATCACGGGCTGCTTGGAAGGCTTTAATTTAAAATTTCTGTCCTGAACTTCAGAGGTTCTTATTCATCTTATATAGAATAAAAATAGAATAGAATAGAATTTTTTATTGGCCAAGTGTGATTGGACACACAAGGAATTTGTCTTTGGTGCATATGCTCTCAGTGTACAAAACTCAAAGAAGTAGAAAATGATTTAATTTTAAAATGAGCTTTTTCCGTTAGGGAATTAGAAGAGCAACATCAGGAAATCAACAAAGACATGTCATGTCACTCTAGAAAAATGCTTATTCTAAATGATTGTACTATTTATCTACAACCAGAGTAACAGTTGGAAGGGGCCTTGGAGGCCTTCTAGAGTCAAACCCCCTGCTCAATTGTTAGAAGAAATATCCTTCTGGGTTCAGCTCCAAGTGGGGAAAAAGACACTGGAAACATGGAGACTGCTTGGAAAGATGGTTTAATGGTGGACAGGATCACATGGTTTGAGTTCCTAAACAGAAAAGGGACGAGACGCAGTGAGTCCCCGGGTTTTATGCCCTCTCTGGCTTTGAACTTTCTGGGGTCCAGAAAGAGTATCCTGATTGGTTGTCAGACTCGCAGAGGGTGGGGGTCTTAGCTAACCTTGCTGGCTGATGTAATCTTCCCAGGTGCCATGTGGTGAGTTTCTGTTGCTAGATGGGTCCTATTGTGTTGCAGATGATGGTCCTTTGACAAAGATTGAGTTTCTGCCTCTGGCCCATTGACAAAGGGTGTGGGGGGGGGGCAAGAAGGTGGGAGCTGCTTCGTCTTTAAAACATGCTTCTCCATTTCTCATCCAGGGAAACATAATATTCTGCCTTTTTAAATATTTCCTAAAATATTTCATTCTTCTAGGAAAGGGGTGGGTGCTAACTTCCTACACAACCATGCGTGGCAGGGAGACTAACTATAATTCTTATTATAGCAAATAAAATGCAGAAAGGGCAGCGTTCAGACGTCACCCAGAACCAGGATTTCCTTAACCACAGTTCGTTGCATATTGAGTTTGTGCCTAACCCCAACCTGGTGTCCTCCGGATGCCATTGCAATAGATAATGGAGGAAAACCAGATTGGGGAAGGTCCCTCCAGGAGTGGGAAGTGGGTTTACAAAAGCCCCGCGGATAGCTGGGGATGATGGGGGTTGGAACTGGAATACCCAGAATTATGTATACAATCCTCTAACACAGGGGTGGGCAACTGTGGCCCTTTTACAACCTGTGGACTTCAACTCCCAGAATTCCTGAGACTGTTATGGAATGATAGGACCAAACAACATTCCTGGGTCAGCCAGAGTTTTTATTGCGCAAGGTTCAGAGGCAGATTGGTTCTTGCTATCTGAACAAAGGAAAGAGATCTAATACCCCTGTTTTATACTTTTCCAAGACAAAGGATTTTGCTAGCACGGCAGTTTTCCATATATGGTTAACATATCCGTTACATGATAATTGACATTTCCTAATTACTAAATTCCTGCCCTAATTTATAGTACATGAGATAATTTTAGCTAAACATCCTCTTTAGTTCTGTATCCGCTGATGCGTAGATTTATGTCTTCCTTGGTTCCATATGGATGTCCTTACATCCTTGACAACTAGGCCCCATCAGAAGATATATTATCCAGGATGTAATTTATCTGACTTTAATGTAATCTTCCAAACAAGTATTGTTCTTCCAAACCAGCACATTCTTTCTTACAATAATGTGAATAAGGAGGGCCCTTCAGTGTTCATATAGCTGATCCTGCATCATACACATTAAGACAGCCAAGCTGGCTCAGGAATTCTGGGAGTTGAAGTCCACAGGTTGTAAAAGGGCCACAGTTGCCCACCCTTGCTCTAACACAGGGGTGTCCAACCTTGGCTCCTTTTAAGACTTGTGGACTTCAACTCCCAGAATTCCTCAGCCAGCCAAGCTGACTCAGGAATTCTGGGAGTTGAAGTCCACAGGTTGTAAAAGGGCCACAGTTGCCCACCCTTGCTCTAACACAGGGGTGTCCAACCTTGGCTCCTTTTAAGACTTGTGGACTTCAACTCCCAGAATTCCTCAGCCAGCCAAGCTGACTCAGGAATTCTGGGAGTTGAAGTCCACAGGTTGTAAAAGGGCCACAGTTGCCCACCCTTGCTCTAACACAGGAGTGTCCAACCTTGGCTCCTTTTAAGACTTGTGGACTTCAACTCCCAGAATTCCTCAGCCAGCCAAGCTGACTCAGGAATTCTGGGAGTTGAAGTCCACAGGTTGTAAAAGGGCCACAGTTGCCCACCCTTGCTCTAACACAGGGGTGTCCAACCTTGGCTCCTTTTAAGACTTGTGGACTTCAACTCCCAGAATTCCTCAGCCAGCCAAGCTGGCTCAGGAATTCTGGGAGTTGAAGTCCACAGGTTGTAAAAGGGCCACAGTTGCCCACCCTTGCTCTAACACAGGGGTGTCCAACCTTGGCTCCTTTTAAGACTTGTGG